TCTCTGCTCAGTCTCCTCACTCATACGATCAGAATCACGGTGTTCCCTCTGAGGGTCGCTGTGTGAGTCAGGTGAGCTCGTGCGTGGGTAAGTGTGCTTGGCTGCTGACTGAGAGGCCGGTGGTTCGAACCCACCCAGCGGATCTACGGGAGCGAGACCTAGCAAAGCTCACGGCCTAAGAGAGCCTGTGGGGTCAGCACAAGTTAGAATCGTCTCCACGGGATCCAACCACAGCAGTGAGTGGGAGGGCCTGGGCTGTGCTGTCTAGTGACACTGAACACACATGCTCCTCTTCTGACGGGGCTCCCTGTGTGCAGACCAGCAGCTCCCAGCCTCTGGGGGCCAGGACGTTGGGCCGAGTTTCACAGTCTCGCACGTCTGTCCCCGCTGTCCCTGTGGCCTTCCCTGCCCGTGCCCAGCTGTGCGCCCCTTGCCCACACTCTTACCACGTTCCCCTGCTATCAGAGGGCTGTGTGAGAATCTCCTCTCCCTGCTCCTTGGGGCTGGAGCCCAGACTCAGCAGCCGGCACCCGGGAGGGCCCAGGAACACGGTTTGGTTGAATGTTTGCTGGGTGCTGATGGTTTCCCCACCCAGAAAAATGGGGAGAATTGCAAACATGTGGCTGGAAGATGCTTGTCATTTGTCCCTTGGAGGGTTTGTTACTCTTGCTGTCAGGCTCCGGGGCAGGGATTCCCTGAGCCTTGTAGGACTCAAGCGCTTCTCAGAGGCTCACAACTGTTAGACGCATGTGCAGTCCTGAGCAAGAGCCCTCATGGAACTGATCTGAGATGACCGCAGGCAGCGGAGAGCACGGCCCCTGAGGGGCTGTTTCTCCCAGCAGTGTGTCCATGAGGCTGTCCCAGCACAAATGCTTTCAAAATACTGGGGCCCCTGTGGGGCGAGCGGCCATGGAAGCCTGGAGAACATCCTGCTGCTGGGCGCAGCTTCCTGATGCAGAGGGGGCCTGGGCAGGGCCACACCGGTCCGTCCCCACGCTGCCTGAGAGCAGAGCTCAGCTTCCTGACGCAGAGGGGGGCCTGGGCAGGGCCCTGCCGGTCCGTCCCCACGCTGCGTGAGGGCAGAGCTCAGTTTCCTGACGCAGAGGGGGCCTGGGTCAATTCTCGATAGCTTTACTGACCTGCAGTGTGATGGCCCGGGCACCACTTTGAACATTTCTGAATTAGTTTGGACCATTAGAGTCTTGATTTCATTTAAAAATCAACGTCTCCTAGCTTCCCATGGAAATTAAAGGGACGAGCGACACAGGCTTCCTCTCTCGTGGTAGTGGCGGGGGTGTGAGCAGGAGCCATCCCCCTTCAGTGGGGCATCTGCCCCTCACGTGCTGCTGGTGGCACGGAGCTGTGTTTCAAGGAGAGCAGAACACTGCCTTACCACCTCCCCATCTCTGTTGCGGGTTTGCGGGCAGTGGACACGGCCACACTGGTTCTCTGCAACTGGGCAGTGTCTGGGGTCGGGGCCCGTGCCTGCCCGTTGTCCGACTCTCCCCTGTGCTGCCTGGCTTTGAGCTGTGGCTCCTGTTAAAACAGCCTGAACCACTTCTGGAGAATGCAGTGGATTCGGACTCATGGCGACCCTGTGTGTTACCCGGTAGGACTGCCCCGTGCAGTTTTCTTGACTGCAGTGTTAGGGAAGCAGACAGCCAGGCCTTTCTTCCACAGGGCCTCGGGGTGGGTTTGAACCCCCAACCTTTAGGTTGTAGCCAATGTGGATTGTTTGCGCCGCTGAGGGCGGGGCCCGGGATTGAGCAGAGGGCAGTTTCCTTCCTGTGCCCAGAGGACTGAGGACAGGCGGGCCTGCATCATGGCCTATTAGGCATGAGAAAGGGGGTGAGCTGAGCCCCAGAACCCTGGGCTCAGGGAGGGCCCAGCACTCAGCGCAGCCACGTTTTGTCTTCCAGGCCCCTACTGGACGCACGTGCTGTTCACATGGAAATCCAAGGAGGGCCTGAAGGTCTATGTCAATGGGACCCTGAGCACTTCTGACCCCAGCGGGAAGGTGTCTCATGGGTACGGGGACTCCAACGCCAACCTGGTGATCGGGACCGATCAGGACCAGACCCGGCGCTATGAGAATGGTGCCTTCGATGAATTCATCATCTGGGAGCGGGCGCTGACCCCGCACGAGGTTGCCATGTATTTCACAGCAGCCGTCGGTCAGTGGGGGCAGGGGGTGGGGTGGGCCGGCACCTGCTCCCTAGGGGCACCCTCATAGCCACTTCCTCCCAGCAGCCAGCCTGTGGGCATAAGACGTGTCCTAATGAACCCAAACAATCCTAAAAGCTCCGTTGGCATGGAGGCAATTCTGACTCACAGCGACCATGTAGGACAGAATGGAACTGTCCCGTAGGATTTCCAAGGCTGTCTTTACAGAAACTGACTGCCTCATCTTTCTCCTGGGGAGTGGCTGGTGGATTTGAGTGGCTTACCTTTTGGTTGGCAGGTGAACACTCTAACCACTGTGCCCCAGAGGCCCTTAGTGACATGTAGATGCTTCCATTTCTCTGTTCCTGAGATGGAGGGTCAGTGCTTTGCTGGAGATGCTCACGGATTAACATTGTCT